GAGACAGGCTGCCGATGAGCAGGCTGCCCAGGCTGGCAGTTCGACACCATTCGTTCCTCCGGTAGAGAGCGGTCAGCAGTCCGTCTCACTGGTGCGTGGCAGTTCAAGACGTATGGGGACGATTCATATTGTTCAGCATCGGAGCTCCACTTATGGGTCGACAGTCATGAGTAGTCCGTTGGCTTATGATGATGATGATGATGATGATGACGACGATGATGATGGTGGTGATGGTGATGGTGATGGTGATGATGATGATGATGATGATGATGATGATGATGATGATGATGATGATGATGATGATGATGATGATGATGATGATGATGATGATGATGATGATGATGACCAGATGTATGACTCGGACTCTGCTGCTGCTGAGCAGCCACAACAGCCACAATCGCCACAACCACAGCCACGTCCACGTCCACGTCCTGGAAAACAACTCCGCCAAGCTACCCATCCATCCTCAAGTAAATGATTTGTGTATTTATCATTGTTTTGAAAACCGGACCGGACTGGACCGTCTGATTCAACCGGGAATCGGCCGTCATTCCAGTCCGGCTTGAATCATCAAGCCGCTGAGCTTGTGAACCGGTCCAAAACGTTCGAACCGATGAACGAACGGTGAACCGGGACCGGAACAACTGGTTCAACGTTCAAGATTTTGAATTTGAAATTAGTTCATTGTGAAGTGATTTAAATAACAATTTTTTTTTACTTGTGTTTTTTCAATGTGGGATATATTCACTTGTTAAAAAAAATATTATTGTATAAATTGGACTATCTATAGGGCAAAATAGTCTATTTAAATTATTAGAAAAGAGATAAGCAAATTAATGTATATTTTTTTTAATTTGTAAATCAAAAATAAAAAAATTAAAATGTGATTAAAAATGAAAATATGGTTGTTTATATTCTCTGTATTATGTACCTTAGAATATATATAAAAATTTTAAATATAATTATTAAAATTAAACATTGTCTGTCGTATCTACTATTGAGTTAATATTTAGAGAAATGTCATACCCTATAAAATTAATGATAGAAAATATATAAATATACAGTACATATAAATTAAATAAATAATTATATATTAAGTAAACTGGTTCGACCGGTGGTTCAATCAATACCTTACCAGGTCGATGACCGGTTCGTTTTCAGAACCACCATCAGATATTATTTTATTTGATAATAGAGTGTCATTGATACATTCAATCACAATATGTCGTATATAAATTGGTTGTTCTATTTTAACAAGTGCGAGTAGCAAACGCACTAAGAGTGACGACTGGATCGTTAAAGGCCCAGTGCCTGGTGGCCCCATTGACGGGAGTGTGATCCCTAGTTTTCAAGGGCACGTAGCCTCTAAGATGTGTGAAGGAGATTTCAGAGGCATGTTGAAATGCCAAAATAGGATGGCAGTGTACAAGCTTTTAAAGAATTGGCTCGAAGAGATGAGTCCAGCTCCGCGCGCCCTGATCCGTAGCCCTGGGATGTCACATTTGGCCTTCTGTATGCATACTCACGTCGACACTCCACTTCTCTGTGCATTTATCGAGCGTTGGCAGCCGGATACGAACTCGTTTCACCTGCCTTTTGGTGAAATGAGTATACTGCTGCACGACGTGAGGGCCATATTAGCGATTCCTGTAGAAGGAGCGGTAGCACCGCGGACCCGGACACCTTCACATGTCAGGCGTACTGCATGGAGCTCTTGGGGGTGGACCAGTATACTTTGAGGACCACATTCTGAGATCATTCGGTGAGCCAAGGCGCCATTTTTTATGAATTGATGAGGGAGGCCGGCGTAAATAGGTCGGATCAGCATGTGGCATCTGGCTGGATGTACGTTATGCTGGGTACCACCTTGTTTACAGACAAGAGTGGTAATAGGGTCGGTTCCAAAGTCCCGATTGAGCTGCTGGAGGACGCGCGGAGATTTGAGACTTACTCATAGGGCTCTGTTGCACTGGCGTATCTATATAGACAGTTGGGTATCGCCAGCAGGGGGGAATGTGGGGCACTGTCGGGCTGCTTGACTCTCCTGCAGTTCTGTATATACGAGTACTTTCTGACCCTCCGACCCAAGCATGCGCGTACGACCTTCCCGCCTGATTGTGGCGCCCGGTCAGCCTTGTGGAGCACCGCCGTCCCGGAAAGGGTAGAGACACGTCTCGAGCATTTCCGGAGGCAGATTGACATGCTCACCACTGTCGATGTACGTTAAGTTATGTTATTTACATTTGAGTGAAAGTTATTTGAAATAATCGAATTGTTTCAGTAAATGTTTTTATGCAATTGTGAACATGTGAACTAGCTGCCATACGAGCGCAAGCCACATGAGATAGAGCCTAGGACCCTTTATTTCGGATACCTTAAGTAACGGGATATTGTAGACCTACATGCCTCTGCAGTGTTTGCGTCAGTTGGGATACGTCCAGATTGTCCCTCCTGGAATTTACCGTCCGACACAGGTATATAGGCCTTGGCAGTCTAAGTCGTACAAGGTTGAGCATGCTGATAATGCTGTCGAAGATAGCTGAAACCAGTTCCCGGTCCCTCATTCTTTGCACCTGTCTGATTTTACGGAGACCCCCGTAGATGATCGAGGGCAGACCCATCGAGACTATCTGTATGAGCGGGCTTCTCATCCTAGACTTCTGCCTGATACTCGGCCAGATTCTGACGCGGACCTTGCGCGTGCCAACTACGATTATGTAAGTCGTTTACTGAAATTTAGTTAATATTCTGTCATTACATTTTTTTTTAAAAAAAAAATTATATGTGATCATATAT